GCCAGACAGAGAAGCGTGATTGGTCCCTCCAGAGAACACGCCTCCTCTTCTCTAGAGTCCAGTGGCGGCGTGCGTTACACCGCGGTATCCCACGCTTTGCATTGCACTCGGTGATGTGCGGCTTGGATGCAGCTGCTCGGCCCCCATTCCATGAAGCTCTCTACGCGCTGTTGTTGCGCCAATCTGACGGCCGCATGGAGTTTGGAGGTCTGTAGCTATTGGCTCTGCAGACAGTTGGCGACTTCTGCGCGCCGTGCGCTTCAGCATGCGCCGACGCCGCTCTGTCATGTGACGTGGCCGACCACTTCCTGGCTGAGTTGCTGTTGTTCCCGGTTGCTTCCACTTTGTTATAATCCCAGTAACAGGCGACCGCGGCGGAATATTTAGTAGCCGAGAAATGTCACGGAACACCTGAATCACATGATATGGAGGGGGCGGGGCCCAATACTTTTTTATGAAGCTTTTCATACTCTGGTACGTACTGGTTATGACGCGGCTGGAGGGTCGCTACATCCTGCTCTGTTTTAATATAATTTATGATGGGTTTGCTTTCCATCTTTCTTTTCTCGTGTCTTCATCTAAGCGGTGTTGTAGTGGGGGGTTCATGAAGTCTCACTGTCTCTGGTTGTCCACCACCGACAGACTTCATGAACCCCCCCCCACTACAACACCGCTTAGATGAAGACACAAACAGAGAAATGAGGGTGACGCTGTGTTCAGTACATCTTCCCCCCTCCACACATGTTTGGGGCTCCTCAGACCTCCATTATTGTCACAATGATGAATAAAACATGAACTCCTCCTCACAATCATTTGTTCACGAGTCCAACTCGGGGTTCCCAGGACTGCGGTGATGGACCTAAGAGAGGCTTTAGCTGGTGAACACGAAGCTGAAGACCAATGTGGACAACCGGCATCTACAGAGCATTCAGCTCCAAGCGGATTCTTGAAGAAGCACCTTCAGCTCCGGTCTGGGAGTGCGGGATCATATGGGAAATGCTTCTTCAGGAGGCTTCTAGGAAGACGTGTTGGAGCTTGGTGTACTCTATCAGCATGGTTAAAGATACAGGGAGGTGGTGACAACCTCTTGGCTACCCATGGGGACTCCTCTCCAAGCTCCTCCCCAAAGTCTTGTGGACTAGTCTATGTATGGAGGGGGTTATATGACTGTCCATTGGCTGGTGTGCTGGGCTGGTGGCTTTAGCAGGTGGTGGTCATTGTCCATTGCTTGGTGTGCTGGGAGGTGGTGACAACCTCTTGGCTCCCCAATGGGGACTCCTCTCCAAGCACCTCCCCATTGCCCAAAGTCTTGTGGACTAGTCTATGTATGGAGGGGGTTATATGACTGTCCATTGGCTGGTGTGCTGGGCTGGTGGCTTTAGCAGGTGGTGGTCATTGTCCATTGCTTGGTGTGCTGGGAGGTGGTGACAACCTCTTGGCTCCCCAATGGGGACTCCTCTCCAAGCACCTCCCCATTGCCCAAAGTCTTGTGGACTAGTCTATGTATGGAGGGGGTTATATGACTGTCCATTGGCTGGTGTGCTGGGCTGGTGGCTTTAGCAGGTGGTGGTCATTGTCCATTGCTTGGTGTGCTGGGAGGTGGTGACAACCTCTTGGCTCCCCAATGGGGACTCCTCTCCAAGCACCTCCCCATTGCCCAAAGTCTTGTGGACTAGTCTATGTATGGAGGGGGTTATATGACTGTCCATTGGCTGGTGTGCTGGGTTGGTGGCTTTAGCAGGTGGTGGTCAAGGTCCATTGCTTGGTGTGCTGGGAGGTGGTGACAACCTCTTGGCTCCCCAATGGGGACTCCTCTTCAAGCACCTCCCCAAAGTCTTGTGGACTATTCTATGTATGGAGGGGGTTATATGACTGTCCATTGGCTGGTGGGCTGGGTTGGTGGGTTTAGCAGGGGGAGGTGGTGACAACCTCTTGGCTCCCCAATGGGGACTCCTCTCCAAGCACCTCCCCAATGCTCAAAGCCTTGTGGGCTGGTCTATGTATGGAGGGGGTGACATGACTGCCCATTGCCTGGTGTGCTGGGTTGGTGGGATCAGGAGATGGTGGTCATTGCCCATTGCTTTATGTGCTGGGAGGTGGTGACAACCTCTTGGCTCCCCAATGGGGACTCCTCTTCAAGCACCTCCCCAAAGTCTTGTGGACTATTCTATGTATGGAGGGGGTTATATGACTGTCCATTGGCTGGTGTGCTGGGTTGGTGGCTTTAGCAGGTGGTGGTCAAGGTCCATTGCTTGGTGTGCTGGGAGGTGGTGACAACCTCTTGGCTCCCCAATGGGGACTGCTCTCCAAGCACCTCCCCAATGCCCAAAGTCTTGTGGACTAGTCTATGTATGGAGGGGGTGACATGACTGCCCATTGCCTGGTGTGCTGGGTTGGTGACATCAGGAGGACTGACCAAGACTGATGGACTGAACCAACAAAGAGATCTCCTGGTGCAAGATTCTGAGTATAAGGCAGAACTCTACATTGGCCATCTGCAGGAGACCAGATCTCATGGGTCCACATCAACCAAGCTCACAGCACGTTCTTCTAGATCCTCTCGCTCCAGGAGATCAACGTTAAGTGACCAGCTAACCTAGGCCCGCACCTATCCGGAGGTGCGAAGCTCCCTAGCTAGAATAGACGCAGAAGTAGAAGCTCACAGCACAACCCATCCCAATCTAACCAACAACCTTGTAGGAGTACTTATGAGGTCCATAAGAGAGCCAATTTCTATAACTGCTGACATTGAACAAATGTTCCATTGCTTTATTGTACGAGAAGACCAGACGAACTTCCTGAGGTATCTGTGGCACCGTGACAACAACATGAATAATGAAATGATTGAGTACTCCATGAAGGTCCTTGGAAATAGTCCCTCACCTGCTGTTGCAGCTTATGGTCTACAAAGGACTGCTCTTGACGGCGAAAGAGAGTATGGTGCAGATGCTCGACACTCCGTTGAGAGAGACTTCTATGTTGACGATGGACTCAAATCTTTACCCACCAATGAGCCATACACCTTCTCCAGAGGACTCAAGGAATGCTTTCTGAAGCCAACCTCAGAATCCATAAGATTGCCTCAATCGGTGAACAGTGTTATAAGAGGCCGGTGTCTGCAAGTGTCTTCATGTCACCAGGCCGGTGTCTGCAAGTGTCTTCATGTCACCAGGCCGGTGTCTGCAAGTGTCTCTATGCCACCAGGCCGGTGTCTGCAAGTGTCTCTATGCCACCAGCCCGGTGTCTGCAAGTGTCTTCATGCCACCAGGCCGGTGTCTGCAAGTGTCTTCATGCCACCAGGCCAGTGTCTGCAAGCGTCTTCATGGCACTCTGCAAGTGTCTTCATGTCACCAGGCCAGTGTGTGCAAGTGTCTCCATGCCACCAGGCCGGTGTCTGCAAGTGTCTTCATGCCACCAGGCCTGAGTCTGCAAGTGTCTTCATGCCACCAGGCCGGTGTCTGCAAGTGTCTTCATGTCACCAGGCCAGTGTCTGCAAGTGTCTCCATGCCACCAGGCCGGTGTCTGCAAGTGTCTTCATGTCACCAGGCCGGCGTCTGCAAGTGTCTCTATGCCACCAGCCCGGTGTCTGCAAGTGTCTCCATGCCACCAGGCCGGTGTCTGCAAGTGTCTTCATGCCACCAGGCCGGAGTCTGCAAGTGTCTTCATGTCACCAGCCCGGTGTCTGCAAGTGTCTTCATGTCACCAGGCCGGTGTCTGCAAGTGTCTTCATGCCACCAGGCCGATGTCTGCAAGCGTCTTCATGTCACCAGGCCGGTGTCTGCAAGTGTCTTCATGCCACCAGGCCGGAGTCTGCAAGTGTCTTCATGCCACCAGGCCAGTGTCTGCAAGTGTCTTCATGCCACCAGGCCGGTGTCTGCAAGTGTCTTCATGTCACCAGGCCGGTGTCTGCAAGTGTCTTCATGCCACCAGGCCGATGTCTGCAAGCGTCTTCATGTCACCAGGCCGGTGTCTCCAAAAGTTATTTTTGGGTAACAGGTCCTGCATTCCTGCCGGATAATCCAGAAGAAACCACAGCTGAGGTCTTCAGTCTTCTAGATCCCGACAAAGATCCAGAGATCCTACCTGAAGTCAAAACCCTTGTCACCAGATCTGAGCAGACTCATCTTGGGCTCTCAATGCTTTGAAGGTTTCTCCAAGTGGACGAGGTCAGTCCATATGGCACACTGCTATCCCGCTGAGCCCGATGAGGCTCACTGCCCTGGCTGGCACATAGGCCGAAAACCTCCCTCGGCAAAAGACATTGCACAAGGCGAGCTGATCATAACGCAACAGAATGTCTTTAGGACAGGAATGTGTCTGTGACAAGCAGGACCTTCCAATGGCTAACCTGAACCCATTGGTGGACACTGGTGGCATGCTAAGGGTTGGTGGACGTTCAAACAAGGCTAAGTTGAGAAAACAGGAACAGAATCCTCTCATTATACCATCTCACCACCTTGCTCATATGGCATTACCAAGAAAGGGTTGGGCACCAGCATAGACCTCTCATAGAGGGAGCCATAAGAGCTGTAGGCCTTTGGATTGTGGGGGCTAAAAGGCAGATCTTGGCTGTACTTCACAACTGAGTTCCATGCCACCACCGAAGAGGGAGACATCAGCAGCAGAAAATGTGGGACTCTACAGGTGAAGTACTGACCCAGCGTTCATTCACGTTGGTCTGGATGATGTTGGGCCATGGATGGAGACAGCACACAGAACCCGAGGTGGCCAAGCTAAGAGCAAGCGATGGGCAATGTTGGTCACCTGCATGAGGTACACATCAAAGTTGAGTTTCATCAATGCTCTACGGTGATGTTTTGCTATCGGGGGACCAGTTCAGTGGTCAACATCTGACTGTGGGACTCACACAACTTGGGGTAGCTGGCCACCATTAATATCACACTGCAGAAGCAGTACATCAGGTCAGGGAACCATTGGTTGCTGGAACACTGGAGGCCCCATAACAATCAATGATGCTTACCTGCCCCGGCTTTCTGCGTTGTAGTGATCACTGACGGGGGTGGCCCCAGAATTGAGCTTGGTGAGAAGTTATTTAATGGCAGCCACTCAATGAATGAGTTCTGACCGCAGCAGATGGACAACCACGTGCATTGGCCATTTATTTTGTCCCCTAGGTGAGCTGAGAAGAGCTTGTGAAGGTTCATTCCTCCAGGTCATGGTCTATCTGTAAAAAATAAGTCGAGGCAACTGGACTTGCTGTCATTTTCTTGGAGACGTTTCACTGGTCATCCAACCGGCTAAATTCAGAATCAATTGAGAAAAGCTGGGGTTAGGGTCAAACTCATGGTTGACCTGAACCCAAAGCTCAACCCCAATGGCTAATTCTCCACCTCCTGAGGGTACAGGAGCCATTTCCACCTATTCCCTTCTGCTGGGGTTCTTTCCATCCATACACCAGAGGTGGTCCACACAGAACCCCTGAGGAAACAAGGGGAGCGCGGGAATCCAACACAGATGATCTCTTCAAAGTTGGTCCTCCTGAATGTCCACCAGATCGATCCCACCGGGGAGTATGGACACCGGAATGTACAATGGGTATCGGCAAATCCACAATTATCATCACGTAGATGGTCAACCTTCACCTCTACAAATGGCGGGAAGAACCCAACGCTGAGTATCACGGCACGCAGGCCCACGCGGTATTGAGAATGAGATGACTACTCAAGATTTCTCAGGCGGTCTTCGGTGGTTGAGGATCAAATTGCTGTTTAAATAAGATGATTACAACACTGGCAACGTATCCACGTGGGAAGGCTCCGCAGGATGGGATATCGGGGTGCATACCATGGCACCAAGGAGGAGGAGTGATACCCTTTCCCAGGATCCCATCTATCAGGACACACAGAAAATACACACAGAGCACAAGGCCGTGTTCACGCTACGAGAGGTTTTCCCCGGGGCTGCAATTCCACTGAGCTCCACCAGGTGGTGATCTCACCTACACCCAGACAGGAAGTCTCTATGGAAAACAGACAGGAAGTGATGTCAGATATAAATAGGAAGTTCTGGGCGAGAGATAAGTTGGGAGGAAGTAAAGAGGAGACGTTGCTGGAACTGGGAGCAGAGGAGGTAATAATAATCTGCTGCACCCATATATCATTTCTTTCCCTTATTCACATTAAAGCTTCACAGAGCGTCCATCATACGTCCTCCTCCCAAAGTCCTTCCATCCGGAGTCCGTCCCGGATCCTTCTCTGATATCAATGTTATCTGTCTACAGGGAGACCTTCATAGAGGACTGCACCAATGACCGAGAAGGACCGGAGTCACATGACCGAGAAGATAATAAACCTCACCCTGGAAATCATCTACCTGCTGACCGGAGAGGTGAGGAGGATTCTGGGAGGTCACATGACCTGACTGGAGATGAGGAGTACGGAGTGATAGTAGAGATTTCAGGAGGACATAAGATGGAGCAAACCAATACCAGAAACCCACCAGAGAGATGTCCCCGCCCCCTGTATTCCCGGAATTCCACCCAGGAAGATCTCACTATGCCTCGCATTGATCAGGTAGGTGATGGACAATCTCTGGTGGCATCTCTGGGATATGGAGATTGTCTACATTGTTACCATTTATTTTATTTTCAGAGTCATTTTAAAGTTGTTGTTAAAGAAGAGATAAAAGAGTACGATGAGGAGTACGGAGTGATGGAGAAGTCAAAGTTTCCAAAAGGACACAAGGACATTATGATGAAGCCACCTAGTAAGAGGAACACACCAGAGAGATGTCCCCGTCCTCTGTATTCCCGGGATCCCACCCAGGAGGATCTCACCATCCCCCACCATGATCAGGTGGGTGGAGTTGAGGGGCGGGAACATAAAGTGAGGGAACGCTCTGACATGTGGAGATGACGTGTGGACTCTACAAGATGAGATCTTCTATGTGATGTCACATCATAAATACTTCTATGTCACAGATGAGACTTTCTGCCGTTCTGTTGGTTTAGGGTGAAGATCTGATGAAGATGAAAGTTGAGGGTGAAGTAGAAGAGACGTATGTGAGGGATGATCAGCGATATACGGAGGAGGAGGCCGGGATGATGAGGACGTCCATAGAGGAGGACACGCCTACAGAGATCAGCACAGGTGGGTCATAATATATTCTTCTGTTATCCGGGGGAGGGGCTGCCAGTCTATAATCTGATCTTCTTGCTGATCAGAGGTCACATGACCCAGTGCCTAGGCTTGTGGTTGAGTAAAAAGCATGCTCCTCCCAGTCCCATCTAGCTCCACCAGTGATGGTGATCTAGGAGGAGGACCAAATGCCCTTTGAAGACTGGAGGAGTCCCAGCTGGTTGGGAACACTAAATACATTCAGGTCCTGCACATTGGATCCTCTCTCTCTCGGATATTCCTCGTTCTCTGTCCTGCAGATACAATTCTTACATGTAGACGGGGTTCGTGTAGATTTTGGGGTTCAGCTGGTGCAGAAAGATGTCCACCATAGGTGTTGCTCCACCTATACACCAGGTTCATGTGTCCTGGGTCTCCAGCCTGGTGCCCCCCCGAGTCTGGCAAGGTCTCTGACAGAGCGAGGCTTCCCAGGGTTATTTGCAGTGCCGGGGGGAGGGACATTCTGTGTGGTGCTTCCCGTATAGTTCAACATCCCGGTCATTGGCTACGTTTTCAGCTTCTCGTAGGTAAGTGAACGTGTCTAAGGAGGCCCACTGACCACCAAACACCTCCTTCACTCTCTATGGTCCCTCACTCTCTATGGTCCCTCACTCTCCTTGGTCCATGATTGGTAGAACATTTACAGGATCCATTTCCTGGTCATCTGAGGGGAGGAACGTGAGGTCCTCAGAGACAAATCTGACTGATGTGGGCGGAGTCCTGGGTGAGGTGAACCAACCAATAATCTCTTTCTTTCTATTTGTAGTCCACGGACGGGACGTCGGGAAGATCTCAGAGGAACGTCTCACGTGGTCTCCAGAAGATGAGGACATCACACAGTATAGTCCAGGAGAAGACCATAATGTCCATCAGGTGCCCTACAGTGTGGACGGATCATCGTATTCCTCTTTTCCTGAGGGCCCTCTGACTGGGAGGAACGGGGCCTTCCTTCCAATGATTTTGGTCCATAAACAATCTCTTCTGGGTCAGGAGTCTTATTCCTGCCCAGAGTATGGGTTATGTTTTGTCAAACCATCAGATTTGCATAGATACCAAAATTCTGCCTTGGCCGAAAAACCATATTCTTGCTTAGAGTGCGGGAAAAGTTTTTCACAGAAGTACCATCTTACCATACATCAGAGAACTCACACGGGGGAGAAGCCGTTTTCCTGCTTGCAGTGCGGGAAAAGGTTTTCACGGAAGTACCACCTTTCCTTGCATCAGACAACTCACACGGGGGAGAAGCCGTATTCCTGCTCGGAGTGTGGGAAATGTTTTTCACGAAAGTACCACCTTTCCAGACATCAAAAGAATCACACGGGGGAGAAGCCGTATTCCTGCACTGAGTGCGGGAAAAGCTTTTCAGTTAAATCGGAGCTCGTTATACATCAAAGATCTCACACGGGGGAGAAGCCGTATTCCTGCAACGAGTGTGGGAAAAGTTTTGCACAGGTGAGCCATCTGTACTCTCACCAGAGGTCTCACAAGGGTAAGAAAATATTCCCACCCCTAGTGCCGGAAACGTTTTTCACAGAGGACTCGTCTTACCAAACATCGGAAAACCCACACAACCCCGGAGGTGTTTTGGTGTCCTGAGTGCGGGAAATGTCTATGTTATATTTATTCTGTACATCAGAGGTCTGACACTGGGAGGAAGCACACCTTGATGGACACCTCAGAAAACACGTGGCTGACCTCTCCTCTGGTCAGAGTTGACTTAAGACTTCATAGTTGTGCCTGGCTTCCTCTGCTGGGGGAGGGGGTGTCACTGCTGGTTGAGTCCTTCTAGCAGTGTATTCTGATCTCCCTTCAAAGGAAGACATCGTGGTGAGGGAGGAGCTTGTGGATGAAGAGAAGGGGAGATCAGACTACACGACAGGACTGGCCATGTCACTGCAGTAGGGATCAGTCTGCACAGGCAGCTCCATGGACTCGGAGAGCCCCCTGCTGGTAGGAAAGTGGAACACACGACACCTTCAGATGGAAATCTATGGAGACGGATTCTATGATGAAATATTTCTGTTCTTATAACGATGAGATTCTTCGTCTTCAGATTTGTATCAATAAAGCTTCTTTTCTTTCCCTTTTTTATGACTCGACAAGTTCGGCTCATACTGGAGGTTGTAGTCCTATACTTGTGTCTCCGTAGTTTTGTACTTGTTGACGGAGCCGACTACATAGACCCCTCCCCTTCCCAATAAGGTGCGAAACAAGTGGGTCCACCACCGGCGACGTGGACCACTTCTTCCAGAAAGACTCCTCAAAGGGATAGCAGACAGAAACCCATTTGGGCGCCACAAAGGACTCGGCGGGACGCTTCCACTTCTTCAGATGGGGAAGCGTCGACACCAGATAGGCGAGTCTTAGAGTAGACCAAACAGCCGGGGTTCCCGCCGGGGGCGGCGGATCACCACCAACCGTAGCCTGGGCGCCACCTGCCTTTGTGGAGTACTGTGACTGGGTAGCCGAGACCCAAAGTGGTATGTACCCTACTGGGAGGACTCCCGCAGACCGGTCCCGTAAAACAGAGCAGGTGATCGACTGTAGTAGAGTCCGCGTGTGACCGCTGCCCGGGCGGCGTCAGACCACAAGGATCCATGATCATCTAGCATGTCACCCCGGTCGGCTCTTGCTCTTCTCTTGAAGACCTCTAGAGGACAATTCTGGGCTCCTCACTCCTGACGCTAGGCAAGAAACTGGAGACTTGGTCAGTAGGCGAAGGGGTTTGGCCACCAGCAGAGGCTTGTCCTTGGTTTTGTGCCTAGCTTCCTTCTCCTGCAGGTGGCGATATCACCCTGAGGTTTCAGATCTGTGGTCTTCCTCACTGTGTCCTTCAATGAACGGAAGAGAAACCCAACACTGAGTATCCCGGCACACAGGCCCACGCGGTATTGGGAATGAGATGATCATTCCATATGAGGATCCGATTAATGCTTAAATAAGATGAAATGGCGTCTAAGTTTCGGAGATTAGAACACTGGGAAGGCTCCGCTGACATATCGGGGTGCATACCATGGCACCGAGGAGGAGGAGTGATACCCCTTCCCAGGACCCCATCAAGAAGGATACACACACAGAGCACAGCGATGTGGTCACACTACGAGAGGTTCCTGAGGGCTGCAGTTCCTCTGAGCTCCACTAGGTGGTGATCTCACCTATACCCAGACAGGAAGTCTCTATGGAAAACAGACAGGAAGTGATGTCAGATGCAAATAAGAGGTTCCAGTGAGAGGCAAGGCGGGAGGAAGTAGAGAGGAGACATTGTTGGAACTGGCAGCAGAGGAGGTAAGAAGATATTATATTTACAAGCTCCCCCCCCAGCATGTGAGCTTTGGTCCCCCCCCAGCACGTGAGCTTTGGTCCCCCCCCCAGCACGTGAGCTTTGGTCCCCCCGAGCACGTGAGCTTTGGTCCCCCCCACCATGTGAGCTTTGGTCCCCCCCAGTCACTTTGACCTCCTTCAGATTGTGCTACATATATATCTTGTGGGATCGTTTTTCTTTCCTCGTTAGAACTTCTAAATGATAGAACCCGATCATTGAAACCCTCATCCCGAGAATTCCTTCCTATTCCATCGGAATCGACGGAGGAGGTGGAAGGGTCATGGGAGGGAAAGTGACGAATTGTCCTGAGATACGTAAGTGACCCTGAAGAAGTCACCAAACTTTTATAGAACTTCCTCCACCTCAGATCTTCATCAGCAAAGTCTCCGGAGAACGAGGAGATCACCGACATCGGAGTTTTCTATTGTGGTTTCGTGTCAGGTGAGGGGAGCGTAGACGTACCCAGGAGCTTCACAGAGCGTCCATCATACGTCCCTACATCCTATGACATCACACCAACCTCACATGTCCTCCCCTCAATGTCCTCCATCCAGAGTCGCCACATCCTATGACATCACACTGACCTCACATCTCCTTCCCCCGATGTCCAGTATGGAATCGGATATCTTCTAGGAGGTCTCGCGTCATTAGAGCTTCTACGTCACAGACGTTCTCTCTCATGTTCCGGGTTTAGGGTGAAGATCTGATGGAGATAAAAGTTGAGGTGAAAGAAGAGGAGGAGACTTATGTGAGCGATGATGAGCAATATACGGAGGAGGAGGCCGGGATGATGAGGATAACCATAGGGGAGGAGGACACGCCTACAGAGATCAGCACAGGTGGGTCATACACACTACATGCATTCCTCTGCTCTGTGATTGGTCCAGAGTAGGGGGCGGGGACTGAGTGATATCGGCCCGTGAGAATCTAAATACTCTATATTGTACATGACGCAGAGTCAGCCAATGAGACGCAGGTATACACTTCATTAGACGCTAGAAAAGGGGGGGGAGTGTAATCACGTGCATGAGCAGCAGCAACGTGCACAGCCTTAGGTTGCTAGTGCATGTGAGCTCCGTGCACACTAGTTAAACCATGTGCTACGGAGTTCCCGCCAAAACCACCACACAAAGGAGTCGGCCTGCTTGTCTATGGACGAGGTAATAAATCGGCGCGTTACGCAGGGGCCCTCGCCGGCGTCCATACACTCGCTAAGAGGACACCGCTCCGCAACGCACATCAATCTCCCCCGACACAACGCATAGCACGTGGACCATTCGTCGGCGGAGACCTCTGTGTCCACCTCTCCTGCCACCACTTCTGTGCCCACTGTCTACCCCCTCCCCCTTGCTCTCTCCCAATACCCGTGGCTTGGGAGCAGGAGATAGTGACCGTGCGGGAAGAGCGAGAAAACACATGGTGCAGGAAGGCAGAGGCAGCATACGATCAGGAGGAGGCGGGGTTAACTTACCTAAGCAGTCCAAGATGAGAGGCGCACTCCACGGGGGACACATTGACAGAGCCAGATGGCTGTCAGACGGCAGCAGTGCAGGATGAGCGGCTCGGGCCCTGTACAGAGAGAGAGAGAGTCCTTCAGGCAGCGTGCTTAGCAGGCCAGAAACCAGAGAGAAACTCGGGGGCGGGGCCGAGCTTACAGCGGCCAAAGCCCGGAAACCCCGTCCGTGCTGCAGCCACACTCACTGCTGCTATTTTTTCCGCCGGCGGCCGATTGAGTTGCCTTACGGTAGCGCCGGGCCTGCCTGAGGGGGAGGAACGTGAGGTCCCCCGAGACTAATCTGACTGATGTGGGCGGAGTCCCCTGGGTGAGGTGAGCCGACCAATAATCTCTTTCTTTCTCTTTGTAGTCCACGGACGGGACGTCGGGAAGATCTCAGAGGAACGTCTCACGTTGTCTCCAGAAGATGAGGACGTCACGCAGTGTAGTCCAGGAGAAGACCATAAAGTCCACCAGGTGCCCCACAGTGTGGATGGACCATCGTCTTCTGAGGGCCTTCAAATCGGGTTGGACGGGGCCTTCCTTCCAACGATTTTGGTCCCTAATCCATCTCACAGGTGTCAGGACTCTTATACCTGCCCGGAGTGCGGGGAATGTTTTGTCAAAAAGTCCGCTTTACCTAGATACCAGAAACCTCCCATGAGGGAAAAGCGATTTTTTTGCCCAGAGTGCGGGAAGGGTTTTTCACGGAAGTCCGATCTTTCCATGCATCAGAAATCTCACACGGGTGAGAAGCCGTATTCCTGCCCCGAGTGTGGGAAACGTTTTTCCTGCAAAAGCCAACTTTCCCAACATCAGAGATCTCACACGGGAGAGAAGCCGTATCCTTGTTCAGAGTGCGGGAAAAGATTTTTTCTGAAGTCCCATCTTTCCAGACATCAGAGATCTCACACAGGGGAGAAGCCACATACCTGCACTGAGTGTGGGAAAAGTTTTTCCTGGAAAAGCCAACTTTCCCAACATCAGAAATCTCACACGGGTGAGAAGCCGTATTCCTGCAATGAGTGTGGGAAAAGTTATTCACATGTGGGCCATCTTTACACTCATCAGAGGTCTGGCAATTGTAAGAAAATACTCCTACCCCAAGTACAGGAAAAGTCCGATCTTTCCATACATCAGAGAACTCGCACAGGTGAGAAGCCGTTTTCCTGCTTAGAGTGTGGGAAAAGTTTTTCCTGGAAAAGCCAACTTTCCCAACATCAGAAATCTCACACGGGTGAGAAGCCGTATCCTTGTTCAGAGTGCGGGAAAAGATTTTTACTGAAGTCCCATCTTTCCAGACATCAGAGATCTCACACAGGGGAGAAGCCACATACCTGCACTGAGTGTGGGAAAAGTTTTTCACGGAAATCAGATCTTGTTATACATCATAGATCTCACACGGGGGAGAAGCCGTATTCCTGCAATGAGTGTGGGAAATGTTATTCACATGTGGGCCATCTTAACACTCATCAGAGGTCTGGCAATTGTAAGAAAATACTCCTACCCCAAGTACAGGAAAAGTCCGATCTTTCCATACATCAGAGAACTGGCACAGGTGAGAAGCCGTTTTCCTGCTCAGAGTGTGGGAAAAGTTTTTTATGGAATTACCAACTTTCCCTACATCAGAGCTTTCACACTGGAGAGAAGCCGTATCCTTGTTCAGAGTGCGGGAAAAGTTTTCTACACAAGTCCCATCTTTGCAGACATCAGAGATCTCACACAGGGGTGAAGCCACATACCTGCACTGAGTGTGGGAAAAGTTTTTCACAGAAATCAGATCTTGTTGTACATCAGAGATCTCACACGGGGGAGAAGCCGTATTCCTGCAATGAGTGTGGGAAATGCTATTCACATGTGAGCCATCTTCACACTCATCAGAGGTCTCACAATGATAAGAAAATACTCCGACCCCAGGCAGAGGAAAACTCTTTCATGGAAGGCTCATCTTACCAAACATCGGAAAACCCACACAACCCTTGAGGTGTTTTAGTGTCCTGAGTGTGGGAAATGTCTTCTATATTTATTCTGTACATCAGAGACCTGACACTGAGATCAGTCTGCACAGACGGCGTCATTGACTTGGAGAGCCCCCTGCTGGAGGAAAGTAAAATAAGTAACATTTTCAGATTTATCTTGGGGGGGGGGGGGGGGGCCTGGAGGATATGGGGGGGGGAGGGGGTCTGTAGTATATTCTTATGATAAGGTGATCAGTTCATAGAGCCGTATATCATTCCACCCGGAATTCCTCCATCACAATCTCCAACCACAAGACCGTTTCGGCGTGGCGCCTCTAATTTCATACCAGGCCCTTATCGAGGCATGCAGGCTGGCTTGCCGGGATCGGGAGGACAGCGAGTGTGTGGCCCCCTCACCCCTGAAGAAATGGGAAGGGTGCCTTGCCCATGACCCTTCCTAGCACGGTATCATGTCCCCCATATTGATGTGTGAGACGCTCGCTGCCACACCCAGACCGGAATGTAACCGTAATAAAATGCCGCATCCCCCACAGCGGCCAAGGTTCTTTCATTTTCGAGATGTTATATAGTTTAGCTGAACGATGTTTAAATATTGTTTGTTTTTTTTAATAATTATTTTATTGGCAATTTTCAGAATACAAAATCCGAATAGGACAATACTAAAATTATAAAACATAACTATATAGATACTAGTATGCAATAGACATGTGCGATTTGTTTCGTTCCGAATCGAAATTCAGACGAATTTTCGGACATTCGGACGTATCCAAATTCCGAATTACAGACATAACGAATCCGAATCTCCATTTCCGAAATTCGGTAGCGTTAGTACCAACGTTCGTTTCTTATTCGTTTCTTATTCCCTTCTTATTCTCTTCTTATTCGTTTCTTATTCGTTTCTTATTCGCTTCTTATTCTCTTCTTATTCGTTTCTTATTCCCTTCTTATTCCCTTCTTATTCGTTTCTTATTCCCTTCTTATTCGCTTCTTATTCGCTTCTTATTCGTTTCTTATTCCCTTCTTATTCGCTTCTTATTCGCTTCTTATTCTCTTCTTATTCGTTTCTTATTCTCTTCTTATTCTCTTCTTATTCTCTTCTTATTCGTTTCTTATTCCCTTCTTATTCGCTTCTTATTCTCTTCTTATTCGTTTCTTATTCCCTTCTTATTCGCTTCTTATTCTCTTCTTATTCGTTTCTTATTCCCTTCTTATTCGCTTCTTATTCTCTTCTTATTCGTTTCTTATTCCCTTCTTATTCGCTTCTTATTCTCTTCTTATTCGTTTCTTATTCCCTTCTTATTCGCTTCTTATTCTCTTCTTATTCGTTTCTTATTCCCTTCTTATTCGCTTCTTATTCTCTTCTTATTCGTTTCTTATTCCCTTCTTATTCGCTTCTTATTCTCTTCTTATTCGTTTCTTATTCCCTTCTTATTCGCTTCTTATTCTCTTCTTATTCGTTTCTTATTCCCTTCTTATTCGCTTCTTATTCTCTTCTTATTCGTTTCTTATTCCCTTCTTATTCGCTTCTTATTCTCTTCTTATTCGTTTCTTATTCCCTTCTTATTCGCTTCTTATTCTCTTCTTATTCGTTTCTTATTCCCTTCTTATTCGCTTCTTATTCTCTTCTTATTCGTTTCTTATTCCCTTCTTATTCGCTTCTTATTCTCTTCTTATTCGTTTCTTATTCCCTTCTTATTCGCTTCTTATTCTCTTCTTATTCGTTTCTTATTCCCTTCTTATTCGCTTCTTATTCTCTTCTTATTCGTTTCTTATTCCCTTCTTATTCGCTTCTTATTCTCTTCTTATTCGTTTCTTATTCCCTTCTTATTCCCTTCTTATTCGTTTCTTATTCCCTTCTTATTCGCTTCTTATTCGCTTCTTATTCTCTTCTTATTCGTTTCTTATTCTCTTCTTATTCCCTTCTTATTCGTTTCTTATTCGTTTCTTATTCGTTTCTTATTCCCTTCTTATTCGTTTCTTATTCCCTTCTTATTCCCTTCTTATTCGTTTCTTATTCTCTTCTTATTCGTTTCTTATTCTCTTCTTATTCTCTTCTTATTCCCTTCTTATTCGTTTCTTATTCCCTTCTTATTCCCTTCTTATTCGTTTCTTATTCTCTTCTTATTCGTTTCTTATTCTCTTCTTATTCTCTTCTTATTCCCTTCTTATTCGTTTCTTATTCCCTTCTTATTCCCTTCTTATTCGTTTCTTATTCTCTTCTTATTCGTTTCTTATTCTCTTCTTATTCTCTTCTTATTCCCTTCTTATTCGTTTCTTATTCCCTTCTTATTCCCTTCTTATTCGTTTCTTATTCTCTTCTTATTCGTTTCTTATTCTCTTCTTATTCTCTTCTTATTCCCTTCTTATTCGTTTCTTATTCCCTTCTTATTCCCTTCTTATTCGTTTCTTATTCTCTTCTTATTCGTTTCTTATTCTCTTCTTATTCTCTTCTTATTCCCTTCTTATTCGTTTCTTATTCCCTTCTTATTCCCTTCTTATTCGTTTCTTATTCTCTTCTTATTCGTTTCTTATTCTCTTCTTATTCTCTTCTTATTCCCTTCTTATTCGTTTCTTATTCCCTTCTTATTCCCTTCTTATTCGTTTCTTATTCTCTTCTTATTCGTTTCTTATTCTCTTCTTATTCCCTTCTTATTCGCTTCTTATTCTCTTCTTATTCGTTTCTTATTCTCTTCTTATTCCCTTCTTATTCGTTTCTTATTCTCTTCTTATTCGTTTCTTATTCCCTTCTTATTCGTTTCGTATTCGTTTCGTATTCGCTTCTTATTCTCTTCTTATTCTCTTCTCTTCTTATTCTCTTCTCTTCTTATTCTCTTCTCTTCTTATTCTCTTCTCTTCTTATTCGTTTCGTTTTCTGTTCTTATTCGTTTCGTTCGTTGGAGCAAAGTGACATCAGAGAAGGAGAAAAATATTTCCCCCCCCCCCTCAAATGTCACTTTTGCTGCAAATGGACAAACGAAATGAATAAGAACAGAAAACGAAACGAACGTTCGTACTAACGCTACCGAATTTCGTCCCAATCCGAATTGACTTTCGCACCCGAATCCCGAAAAACTAAATAACACAAATCCCAATTTAAAACGAAACGAATTTTTTGGCAGTGCGCATGTCTAGTATGCAACACTATCATGCACAACAATCTGATAAATCAATATAAAGTAAAAACAGGAAGACAAAATATAATATCACATAATGCAATAAGTAAATTATCTAGATCGGATTGGAAGGAAAAGGAAAGAACAAAAAAAAAAGGGGGGGGGGACAAGTTCTGAGACAGATTATCAATATTAAAATGTGAAGAATTCAGAATAAAATTGATAATAGCATTTCAAGCATCAAAATAAATTGGAAGACGTTTCCGGATCCTTTCGAATTTTACCATTTTGTCTTGAAGTTTTGGATTTTTTGTGTACAAACACTGTGTGAAGACGGGTTTTCACCTCAGACATTCTCAATTCCGGAGACAGCCCGGCTTTTGCAATCGTTTGTTTAGCAGCAGTGAGAATGTGTGTCATAAGGATACATTGTGAGGTTGGAATAGTGTCAGGTCTCAAGTTTAGAAGAGCTACTGTTGGCTGAAAGGGGGGCAGTGATATTGATGAGGGAATGAATCAAATACTTTGCTCCAAAAACGCTGCGCTATGGGACATTCCCACCACGTGTGGAACATTGTACCTACGGAATCACAGCGGCGATAACATAACGGAGAAGATGAAGGAAACATACGCGCCAGTCTAGAGGGAACATAATACCACCTCATTAAAACTTCATAGTTAGTCTCCACTGCCGCTGCACATTGAGAGGAAGTCCTGATCGAGGCCCAAATTTGTTCCCGTTGTTCACCATCGAAAAATTATGCCCAGATCTCGATGCCAGTGTGACCTATAGGTGTGAGCAGGTATAGAAGAAGAGTGGAGTAGGGAGGAATAGAGCTGAGAAATGACTCCTTTAGTATGTGGAGAGTCCAAGCAAGTACGTTGGAATGGAGTAAGAGGAGAGCGCGTGAGATTGGGGCCTGTCACGGAGGTTAGGAAATGTCGTCTTTGAATAAGTCGGAAAGTGGTGAAGCCATGTCTAGTCCGTAATGTTGAGAAGGGCGTAATAATTCCATTCGAGCCGAGCAGAGAGTGAAAGCGTGTCGTATTGTTGTCGGACCGTCTGGAGAAAGCAGCTGGGTTTTCCGGGCCAGGGGGGGAAGGCCGGGTTATTAAGAAAGGAGGGAAGGGGAAGTTGGGGGGAAATAAGTTTTCCGGAGTGTTTCACAGAGTCCCATATCTTCAGGGAACGGAGAGTTATCGGGGTTGTGAATCTTGGGACGGGTCCGTGGGATAGACCACAGTAGGTTCTGCACTCCAATTGGGTCACAATCTACAGCTTCTAGCGAGACCCATAAAGGAACCTCAATTGAGGTACGGTACTTAGTCAGAGGTGCGATTTGTGCCGCACGGTAATATCGCATTAGGTCAGGCACAGCCAGACCACCGAGCGGTCTAGGAGGAAGCATGGAACGTCCAGGAATACGAGGCTTACGCCCCGCCCAGACGAAGCGCATCACATGTCCTTTGAAGTATTCGGATATCCTGAGTAGGTATATGAACAGGGAGGACTAAAGGAAGACAAAATTGGAGAACGGAAGCGCCTCTGCCTGGCGCAATAAATGTGGTGAGGCCTGGTGAGAGGGATAAGTGATGTACTCACATCATAAGGATACATTGTGAGGTTGGAATAGTGTCAGGTCTCAAGTTTAGAAGAGCTACTGTTGGCTGAAAGGGGGGCAGTGATATTGATGAGGGAATGAATCAAATACTTTGCTCCAAAAACGCTGCGCTATGGGACATTCCCACCACGTGTGGAACATTGTACCTACGGAATCACAGCGGCGATAACATAACGGAGAAGATGAAGGAAACATACGCGCCAGTCTAGAGGGAACATAATACCACCTCATTAAAACTTCATAGTTAGTCTCCACTGCCGCTGCACATT